AAAAACATAATAAAGAAATATCGGTCTGAGAGACCGGGAAAAGCACTAATGAGTAATTTTTCAACACCTAGCAGATTTTAAAGGGTTAAAATAAATAAAATTTCTGGTAACTAATTCAATTAGACAAATTTGATTATTTTTGCACTGAAAATTAATTTCTATACACGGAGAAAAAGAAAAAGTAATTTTTACTACTTTCAGAGTAAAACTGGACCAACTCGAAGTTTCTGCGCATCTCTGGCAATTTTTACTCCAAAAATAGTAAAATTTATTATTTCTGTAGTAAATTTTACTGTTTTCGTAGTAAGTTTTACTATTTCTAGAGTAAATTTTACTATTTTTGGAGTAAAAATTGCCAGAGATGCGCAGAAACTTCGAGTTGGTCCAGTTTTACTCTGAAAGTAGTAAAAGTTACTTTATAAAAGAAATCTTTTTTCTCCGTGTACTAATAATTAGTTATTTTTGACTAACTGGTGATGTAAAAAGTCAGCAAAAATTTTACTAACAATTAATTATTTTTAAGTAATTCAGAATTAGAGAGTTAATGTAAAAAACTTCACATTGTTCAAAATATTAATTTCAAAATTGTGTAGAGAACTGTCAAGTTATAGGTTATGTTCTAAATAGTAAAATTCTTATATTGGTAGCACTGTAGGTCCTTATAATACTGTAAATATTAGGGTATAAATTACATTTAAGAATGTTTTACATATCCCAAATTCTTGTGTTATTAAAATTTTAAAAAAAATTTTATTTTAAGAAGGTGAATAATTTCTTTGAAAAGCCAATAATAATAACAATATTATTGAATCTATTATTTGATAACCTCATTAAAAGTTATTCTCAATTGAACTAAACCACCAATTTATTTACCGTTTCTTTATATTTAGAATATTTAGTTTCTATTTTATTTTTATTAATACTATCATATTAATACTGTTATCTCTGTTGATATTAATTTTTTTTTAAACTAATTTAAAACTATTAAAACCATTCTAAAAATTAGACCAACTACTACTATCATTATTATAATCAGACTATTATAACTGTTACAATTATAAATTATCACAATAACAGGAATTTTTAATCATTAAAATATAAAAATTTATTGTATTGTAATTAATTTCAAATTAAATTATTATTTCTATATTAAAAATACTGTCAATTAAATTTAACTTCATTAAGTCATTATTCACATTTAAAGAATAATTTTATATGTAACCCAATTTTAGACTTAAAATTAAATAGTCTCAATTTAAGTTTTGGGCTTAAAATAATCTTAATTTCAATTGTTATTAAATGAAAATAGTTACTGCCAAAAATTATTAAACTTAAAAGTTGTTTTTTTTTTTTTTAGAAAAAAATAGGTCACTTATACTGATTCGAATATAACATTAGTTAAAATTTTCAAACTTTTCAAATATTCCGAGTATTCACTGCTCGTAAATGAATATTTTAATTATGAAATAAATTGAGGGCAATCATCGTCATGAAAACAGAAAAAGTAAATGAGTTCGCGTGAAAGTGAGTGTGTTTCCTGAAAATTTTCCTTTTTAATGGAACTAATTGATTTGCATTGAGACAGTCATTTGTCGAGTTCTGTAAACTCTTCCGTAAATACCTCCTGACAGTTTATCCAGCAGGACGAGTCTCTCATAATCATTAATTAAAGTTCACGCTTCGCCGATGCTGGCTGTCTTTCTCATATACATATACATAAGAGTAGCATGAGACTGTGACATCTGTTACTTTAATCAAGTCTCGCAAGTTGATGAATGTATTATTTGAAATTCCATATGAAATATTAATTACATATGCATGAAAGAGAATTTTTCTTTTTTTCTTTTTTTATTAAGAACAATTTAAATGAACCGACAAAATTTTATTTAAATTTAAAATGCACTTTTGCAACACAAATTGAACTTGTTTATTACACAACGGTCTTTGACATTTGGTGCGCTTATTCATTAACAAAGTATTTTTCAACTTTAATATTTTACTTGAAAATATATTTGTTACCTTAATATTATAGATTACCTAAGTATATTAGATAACGAATGTTACATATTAAAAATGCTTATAAATGTATAATAATAATAATAATAATAATATTTTATAATAATTTGTACAAATTTACAAATTTTTTGTAATTTGGTTCACAGAAAATTAAAAGGCATTAAAATAAGCTGCAACGCTTCTTATTTTAATCCAATTTTGCTTATTTTAATACCAAAATGGATTAAAATAAGCAAAATTAGATTAAAATAAGAAGCGTTGCAGCTTATTTTAATGCCTTTTAATTTTCTGTGTTATAAATAGTTATTGGTATCTATTTTAAAAATATATCTTAATCCAAGTCAGTACAAGTGTGGTAGAAAACTACCCCAGAAAAAATCCAAGCTTTGGCATTTTTTTTGTGCAGATTTAGTGTTTTTTTGTAATTTTTTGACCATATTTTTGATTTTATCAAAAAACAAAAAACTCTACCATTTTCCTTATAAAAAAGGGAAAAAAATGACATATATTTAAGTTATTTTGCGTTAAATATAAAAATTCTAGCAACAAAACAATTTTTGGGTGGTTATACTTCTACCTATGAGCCAACTATGTTATACTGTCTAGGGTTAATAAAAAAAAAATTTTATACTTTCACAAAGAATTATAGGGTCAACCGGGGTAAATCCGAACGCTTTTAGTAAGTTTCAACAATAACATAAGTTTTTTCTTTAAAAAAAAAATACTTCCGGTATTCCGGTGCATGAAGTTGTTACTTTACTTCCATAGAACAATTTTATGGGGTAGCAAAAATTTTTGATAAATTACAATCGCAGGAAACTTAGCGTTCGTATTTACCTCGATACTTTGCAACTTTCCTAAAATATGGAGGTAAATACGAACGCCACTGTATTTTAGAAAAATCTTAGGGAAAATAAATTTAAAGTATTGCAATTGTTAAACTTATATAAAAACTCAAAAAAAATACGATAATAAACCTATTATGTAATAATGCATCATATATAAATACAAAAATCAAACAGGTTAAAAATTAAAATGCATTACACAATTAAAACCTTCAATAACTTTATCAAATCATAACGGATTTTTGCAAAACTTGCTACACAAAGTATTTTGGAGTGATTGAATGTAAATACAAAAATAAAAGTCAAATTTTTTAAATTCAAAATGGCGTACTTTCCTAAAACTTATTTTTAAAAATGATCAAATTTGCTAACCCTGAAACCCCCCGAGTAACAATTTTCGAGCGAATCCAATGAATTTTTTAATTCTCGTCCGCCATTTTGAATTTTGAAAAACTGACTTCAAATTGGTAATTAGCGACCCCAAAAACCGTAGAATACCAAATTTTATTAAGATCCTGAAAAACTTTTTTCAACAAACCATTTGGCAAAAAAAATTGAAGCACTCCTTCGAGAGAACAGAGATTAAGTTTCTGCTTATTAATTACTAACGAGGATACGTATAGAAAGAAAAACTTTTTTCTATGTACTTTTATAATGTTAAAATAATAGTGTAATCAAATAAAAACAATTTTGTGTGGCTTTGATGTAAAAAAAAATTATTAAAAATACCGTTCGGATTTACCCCAGTTTTCCAATTTTCTTGGGTAAATACGAACGGTCTGATATTATTAATAAAATTTTACAGAAGGCAAAAATCAAATATAGTTTCTGTTCTAGTATTCATAACAAACAATTATAAATAATAAAATGAATTTTTAGCTTCTTTTTCTTCAAATACGAGACAAAATACTGAAAGAGTGTCATCTTTGATTTTCAATCTTTTTTGCAATACTTGTTATCTTTGTTTATGCTGTTGCTAATTAACAAACAAAAAATGGGATAATACTTAGAATCTCTTCAAGAGGATCTGAGGTAAAAATTCTCATATCGAACTTATTTTTAAAAATTTTAATTAAGCTGAAATAATTAGCGTTCGGATTTACCCTCCGTTCGGATTTACCTCGACTGACCCTAATTGAAATTTTGTTCGATTCAGAAATATTGATAATATTTAATTTTTTCAAATTTGACTATGTAATATTAATTATAAATAATTAGTACACGGGGGAAAATGGAAAAACGAATAAAGTAACTTTTACTACTTTAAAACTAAAACCGGAATTTTCCTGAGTTTCTGCGTATTTCTGACAAATTTTTACTCTAGAAATACTAAAATTTACTATTTCCGAAATAATTTTTACTATTTCAGTAATAAATTTCACTATTTTGTGGAGTAAAAATTGCCAAAAATGCGCAGAAACTACAGACAGTTCCGGTTTTATTTTTAAAGTAGTAAAACGTTATTTTATTCGTTTTTCCATTTTTCTCCGTGTAAAAAAATAATTCGAATAATTAATATATGTGAAATATATATAAATTAAAAATACTTAAAATTTTAAATATACTTTTGCAAATTAAAAATTGTTTTTAATGTCAAAATGTAATGATAATTATTTCAAAATTGATTTGATAAAATTATAATTAATCATATATACTTAAAATTAAGTAATTTTTTAATTATAATAAAAAAAAAATTATGAAGTTTAAATTAAAAAAAAAAAATTAGGTAAAATTAAATTTGCAAGATAAAACGATCATAAATCGAAAATTCATAAAATAATAATTAACTTTGTTTTTTTTGAGAAAATGAACTTTATGAATGAAGGATGAGTACAGAATCAATGAATGAACGTAAGAAGAAATAACGGAGTAGCTAAATAAATGTAATCGCACTGCATAATAAATGTTGGGGAAATTTTCATCGTCTCCTTTTCATAAATTTATTTAAAGAAATAAAAATTTTATATCATTCCAAAGTAGAAAAACGTGTGATTTAGAATTTTAGTATTAAATTATTTAGATATCATGATAATAAATATAAATTGAAAACGACTAATAAAATTCTTAGAAACTCTCTCTTTTTCTTTGCACACACCAACAACAAATAGTTATAGAAAAATCTATTGCGCTGCAACTTACTTATGTGATTGACGTTGTTGCACTTCCTGGCACCTCTTGGGATTTCCAACAAGGATGTTGCGTGTGCCGGATAAAAGTCGCGAATGAAAATCGAGGTCGAAGTAGAAATCGAAATTAGGGTCAAAGTTGAGGGAAGGTGTCAGGAAAAGGTGAAGGTGTGTTATAGATTGTGGAATAAATGCGAAACGAGAAAAAGAAAAAACATTAATAATAATAATAATAATAATGAAAAAGTAGAGAGCACGATTTTAAAAACAGAACAACGGTCTTGTGAAGGCGAAGGTACTGACTCGACTGATTCAAGAAGTTAGCATAAAGTAGCGGAGTAGCCGTAGCCAGGTTTACGTTTACTTTACCTGATCAGGAGTGAGTAAAAGAGAAAGAATGAAAGAAAGAGAGAGACAGAGAGACGTACAAAAGACAGACTAAGTTACCTGTGAGGAAGGGAGACCAATGATTCTTATACACCGTTGCCAAGTTGTTTTCTCTTAATTTACCAATATACGGCCCATTTGTCTCCAAATTTATCAATTAATTTTTATTTCCTCGTCTTCCTCGTTTAATATTCACTTCTCCATGTTATTAGTTGAATTATGATTAATTTTTCACTGACGGATAAAAAATTATTTTTTTTTTTATAAAACTCTTTTGTAATTACGATTTTAATTAATTTTTTGTTTTTTTTATAAGTAGTAAAAATTATTAAATTTACACATAATCTTATATTTAAATTAGTTTTAAATAAAATAAATCTTGAAAATTAAGATAATTTTAAATTAAACTAAATTTTGTGTAAAATAAGATGTTTGTGAATTTGGATTTAAGAGGTATGTGAAATTTAGATTCTCTTGAGACTTAATTTATTTAGTCTTAAATTCAACAAAGAGCTTCTGGTTTTACCAAAAAATTGCCTTAAATTCAACTCATCAAAATTTGCTAATTGCTTATACACAATCTATTCAGAAATTCAATATGTACTTTTTTGTATCTTTAAGACTCCTTTTCTCCCTTAAAACTGGATTCTCTTTTTTTATTCTATAACTATATTGAAACTAAATTAATTGAAAGCTTATAATGGTAAATGTGATTAAAAATTGGAAAATTATATACAATTTAATTTTATTACAATGAAAACAAGTAAAATTAATACTGATTTATACGGTCAAATCTGTTTTAACATCAATCGGTAAAGCAGATTTGACTTTTTAAATTAATAATAACTAGCGATGTATTCCTCGCTCGCTCGGCTATAGTTGTACTTATTGTTGTTTACTTATTGTAGTTTATGTATATTATATATAATTTATGTTTTAAATTAATATCTTATTAATATTGTATAAAATTTATCTTAATTTTAAAAAATTAGGCACAATATTATAGATTCCTAACTAAAAATTTAAAAAACAACAATAAATAATTTTAAAAAACCATAAAAAATTGAAAAAAATTGCATAAAATTGCAAAATAACCCTTTTTGGGATGAAAATGCAAAATAACCCTTTTTCGGGTTAAAATTGAAAAAACATGTTACAAAAAAAGTATGTAAGATTTTCTAAAAACATATGGCAAAGTATTTTGATTTATTTGAAAATAAGTGAAAATAGATTTTTCAAGGACGGTGCTGAGGTCACGGGGTCGTTTTTGGAAATTTGTTAACTTAATATAATAAAAGATTTTATACTGTTTTTCTAATAAATTATGAGACTGAATTTTAGACGAACTTTAATTCTTAAATTCTATGTCGTCTATATAAAAAATGTTAATTATTCAAAATTTATAAAGTAAATTATAAATTAAAAAATAAATACAGATTAAAAAAAGAAGAAAAAATAGCTTAATGAGGTAATCATTAACATAACCTTAAACTGAAAAGTAATTTTTAACAGATTTAAAAATATATTTAAAATTGATTTCCCTGAAATTCGAAAGATCCAGTTGTACAACAGTTTTCAAAAATAAATATTTCATAAATTAAAATTTGTTATTAAATAATAATTAATAAACATTTTGTGTTTTTTCTTAAAAGTTAGTGCTAACAATTCTAATTTTTTTTTAACTGTAAAAAAGATGTCTTATTTTAAAAAAAAAAAAAAAAAAATTATAGCTTACAATTAGATATCAAAAATGTTATTTTTCTAAGAGGTATTACTAATTTTTGATATATTTGTCAAATTCGGACAATAAATTTTGTTATTTTAAATTTTATCACTTTCGGAACACCCAAGTGGACAATAATGATGTGTTTTAAAAAATGTATTCTTTATCGAAACTATATTGACTATCCATAATGACATGCCCTATAGTCTAGAATAGTGTTAGTATTATAGGTTAAAATAAATGCCATTAGTTTTTTTTATGTAGTATTAAAGATAGAATAGAGCCAATAGATCTCTGTTTATAGTGATAAGACAAAGTGGAATACACACTTCTATAGAAATAAATATATTATTAAAAAAAAAGAAAGTTATTCTGTTTAGACCCATGTATATAAATATATGAGATATCACTATATTTATATAGCTCTTCAGGTAATGGGTTCAAAATTTGATCGTCTTGATCGAATGTTGCTTGACGATGATCGTTATGGTTTAATGCAATATACGTTAACGATCATTATCTCATTTGAGTATATCCAATACATATGCGTTTTATGTGGTCTTTCGACTAAACGATTTTCTCGTACACATAAATATCAATATTCTCATGAAATTTTTCCTTATTATAATAATGGTTTCATTTATCGTTATAGCAACAAAATTTTTGTCACAAAAAAATGAGAGTAATTTTAGCGAATTTGTTTTTTTTTTTTATGGATAGAATTTTTTTTATTGCATCATTTGGATCTTAAAAACATATACAGGGTGATCAAAAAAAGAAAAATTTAATTTTTTGATCATTTTAGAATTTGTATATTTTTAAAAAATAAAAATTTTTGAAAATCCATACGCGAAATTCTAAAAAATCATTAAAAAAAGCGTGTAAAAAAATTGGCTACGAAAAATAGTTAAATATTTAAGAGGAAAAATTAATGAATTTTTAATTCATTTTTTTTCTTTCTTTTTGTTAAAAATTAAAATTTTTAAGAATTCATGGGAAAGGTGTTCTAAAAATATTATTCAAAAAATTTGTAAAAAAAAAATTGTCGATGAAAAATATAGTCAAAATTGTATGAAAGTATTTTTATTTTGAAAAATCTTAACTTTTTCAAAACTATATTATAATGGCCAAAAATTAAGATTTTCTTTTTTCACCATGTTGTTCGTTTTTATGACCGAAATGATGCAATAAAAAAATATAACATCGTGCGATCATTAAAATTTAAGGGTTTGTAGGCAAAAGACGTTTTCTTACAATTTGCAAAAAACAATTTTCTTTAAATTCTTAAAACACTATTATAAAGATTCCCTTTAATTGGTAACAATTTTTCTTTTTCAAAAAGATAATGTTAAAAATGTTTATTTAGGGCATTCTATGGGAAATTTTCATTGAAAATTTTTTTTTGTCCGAAACATTTTTTTTCGAAATCTATATGAAAAATGAGGAAATACGTATTTTTTTATTTTTTTATTTGATGAAAATGAAGGAAGTTATGATTTTTTGAAATTTAACGTCAACGTGTTTTTGGAACATTTTTTAATCTATTGTACTAATAAATTAAAAATTATGCTATATATGAAATTTGTTCATTTTTTCTCAAATTTTTCAAATATGTGCTCAAAAATAACGTACCTATAACAGAAGCAACAAAAAAGTTGAAATTAAACTTATCAAATAAGTTTCCTCAAAAGAGACACTTTCGATTTTTAATTTTTTTTTTGCATTACAATCTCTGATGATTGAAGAATTTTTTCCCCTATCTGCGAAAGTGGTATTTTTAGTTTTTAAATTACTATTTATAATTTTTTTTAGTACGGCTCACAGAATTTAAGCATTTTTCTACAAATATATCCTTTTTCCATTAACATTCATTTGTTTTTTTTTAATTTTCATAAAAACATACTAAAAAACGTTGCGTCGAGCTTAAAAATTGTAAATAGTAATTTAAAAACTAAAAAAGTACCACTTTCGCAGATAGGGGAAAAAATTCTTCAGTCATCAGAGATTGTAATGCAAAAGAAAAAAATTAAAAATCGAAAGTGTCTCTTTTGAGAAAACTCACTTTATAAGTTTAATTTTAATTTTTTGTTGCTCCTATTATAGGTACGTTATTTTTAAGCACATATTTGAAAAATTTGAGAGAAAATGAACAAATTTCATATATAGCATAATTTTTAATTTATTAGTACAATAGATTAAAAAATGTTCCAAAAACACGTTGACGTTAAATTTCAAAAAATCATAACTTCCTTCATTTTCATCAAATAAAAAAATAAAAAAATACGTATTTCCTTATTTTTCATACAGATTTCGAAAAAAAATGTTTCAGACAAAAAAAATTTTCAATGATTTCCCATAGAATGCCCCATTTACATTTTTGTCAAACACGGAGAACTAGAGAAGCCCTGACCAAATCCCCATTTCAAATAGTGCAAAATAGGTAAATTTCTGCACGGGTTTTAAAAGTTTCTTTAGTTAATTCATCAAAAATATATCGAAATTTTATTCAGTTATTTTTTTGTGCAACTATATTGTTGAAAATATCTAATTTAATTTTGTTGAGAGAAGTGCAATTTCTTTTCATGAGGCAATAAGTGAAATAATACGATAATGCGCAAGAATGAATAGAAATGAAAATTATGAAAATGAAAGTATATATATATATATATATCAAATAAAATTTGCATTTGTTTTCTCATTATGTTTATAGTTTTATGTGTGACACTGAAAATCTTATGAATAAATGCTAATTGAAAATGTATATATTTTCCCGGGGCAATTAATTTTCATTCAATGAGAATTTCTCACTATTAAAAAAGAAACTTCTTGTTTCACGATTCTCAGAGACGTATTTATATTTCCACTTTCAGAATTAGTTTATATTAATAAACATTGTTCATTATTTGTTTTTTTTTTTTTTTTTTTTTTTAATATGATGACAATCATTTCTTATTTTTTTAACAGTATTTTTATTTAAAACAAATCTAATTTTAATTTTTTTTCACTTTGGTAAATTATTATTTCATTTAAAACTATATTTGAATTATTTTATTTAAAGTCAATTATTAATTAATTATCAATTAATAATTATTAATTCTAATTAGTGAACAAAATTTTCACTAATTCAAATTTAAAGAATATTTTCACCACCGAATCAAAAATGAAATATTGACAAATTTTATGAATTAATATTCTTAATTGAGGAATTATTATTCATGAAAATATATT